GATTGTGCATTGAGCATTGACTTCTCTATACAGAATTTTATTGTTGTTAACAACCATTTGATCAATAAATATGAGAGTTGCCCTCTCAAAAAAAAAAAAGTAACCCTTTACAAACTAGTAATAAAACTTTCTTAACTTGTAAACTCTGTAGTCGTGAAATGATTTTTTTTAAGTCTCTTTAAAATTAAGAATGTCAAGAATATATATTACCACCACTTCTATTCATCATTATACTGGTGGAAGTCCTATCCAGCATAGTATTTGCAAATGACATCATGATCATGTATAGAAAATATATGTGCATGTACCAAAACACTACAAAGAGCAATAAGTGGAATTCAGCAAGGTCAAGAGATTCGAGTCAGTATTCAAAAATCATATTTCTGGATACTAACAACAAACTATTGGTAGTTGAAATATTCAAAAGTACAGTTTACAGTAGCATCAAAAAATCAAATGTTAAGGGATTAAATTTATCAAATATATATAATACCTGTATATTGGAAATCACAATAGTTTTTGCTGAGAGAAATTAAAGAAGAACTAAATAAATGGAGAGGTATGCCATTTTCATGAAATAGAAAACTCAGTATTAGTATTTGTATTATTATTTTTGATATCATTAATGTACAATTACTTGAACATTATGAACTAGACTCCCCCTATTATCAAGTCCCCCCCACATACCCCATTACAGTCACTGTCCATCAGTATAGTAAGATGTTATAGAATCATTATTTGTCTTCTCTGTATATACTGCCTTCCCCATGTCCCCAACCCCGTACATTATGTGTACTAATCGTAAAACCCCGTTTTCCCCCTGACCCCCCTTCCCACCCATCCTCCTTTTCCCTTTGGTAACTGTTAGTCCTTCCTTGGGTTCTGTGAGTCTGCAGCTGTTTTGTTCCTTCAGTTTTTTCTTTGTTGTTATACTCCACAGATGAGTGACATCATTTGATACTTGTCTTTCTCCGCCTGGCTTATTTCACTGAACATAATACCTGCTAGCTCCATCCATGTTGTTGCAAATGGTAGGATTTGTTTTCTTCTTATGGCTGAATAATATTCCATTGTGTATGTATACCACATCTTCTTTATCCATTCATCTACTGATGGATACTTAGGTTGCTTCCATATCTTGGCTATTGAAAATAGTGCTGCGATAAACATAGGGGTGCATATGTGTTTTTCAAACTGGGCTGCTGCATTCTTAGGGTAAATCCCTAGGAGTGGAATTCTTGGGTCAAATGGTATTTCTATTTTGAGCTTTTTGAGGAACCTCCATACTGCTTTCCACAATGGGTGAACTAGTTTACATTCCCACCAGCAGTGTAGGAGGGTTCCCCTTTCTCCACATCCTTGCCAACATCTGTTGTTGTTTGTCTTTTGGATGTTGGCATCCTAACTGGTATGAGGTGATATCTCATTGTGGTTTTAATATGCATTTCCCTGATGATTAGTGATGTGGAGCATCTTTTCATGTATCTGTTGGCCATCTGAATTTCTTCTTTGGAGAAGTGTCTGTTCAGATCCTGTGCCCATTTTTTGATTGGATTATTTGCTTTTTGTTTGTTCAGGTGTGTGAGCTCTTTATATATTTTGGATGTCAACCCTTTATCGGATCTGTCATTTATGAATATATTCTCCCATACTGTAGGATGTCTTTTTGTTCTACTGATGGTATCCTTTGCTTTACAGAAGCTTTTTAGTTTGATATAGTCCAACTTGTTCATTATTGCTTTTGTTTCCCTTGCCCAGGGAGATCTGTTCATGAAGAAGTCGCTCATATTTATGTCCAAGAGATTTTTGCCTTTATTTTTTTCTAAGAGTTTTATGGTTTCATGACTTACATCCAGGTCTTTGATCCATTTTGAGTTTACTTTTGTGTACAGGGTTAGACAATAATCTAGTTTTATTCTCTCACATGTAGCTGTCCAGTTTTGCCAACACCAGCTGTTGAAGAAGCTGTCATTTCCCCATTGTATATCCATGGCTCCTTTATCATATATTAATTGACTATATATACTTGGGTTTATATCTGGACTCTCTAGTCTGTTCCACTGGTCTATGGGTCTGTTCTTGTGCCAGTACCAAATTGTCTTGATTACTGTGGCTTTGTAGTAGAGCTTGAAGTTGGGGAGCATAATTCCCCCCACTTTATTCTTCCTTCTCAGGATTGCTTTGGCTATTCGGAGTCTTTTGTGGTTCATATGAATTTTAGAACTATTTGCTCTAGTTCTTTGAAGAATGCTGTAGGTATTTTGATAGGCATTGCTTTGAATCTGTAGATTGCTTTAGGCAGGATGGCCATTTTAACAATATTAATTCTTCCTAGCCAAGAGCATGGGATGAATTTCCATTTATTAGTGTCCTCTTTAATTTCTCTTAAGAGTGTCCTGTAGTTTTCAGGGTATAGGTCTTTCACTACATTTGTTAGGTTTATTCCTAGATATTTTATTCTTTCTGATGCAATTGTGAATGGAATTGTTTTCCTGATTTCTCTTTCTGCTAATTCATCATTAGTGTATAAGAATGCAACAGATTTCTGTGTATTAATTTTTTATCCCGCAACTTTGCTGGATTCAGATATTAGATCTAGTAGTTTGGGAATGGATTCTAAAAAAAAATCAGTATTATTAAGATGCTGATTCTCCCCAGATAGATCTATAAAGTTCAATGCAATCAAAATCAAAATGTGTGCATGCTTTTGGTAAAAATTGGGAAGCTGATTCTGAGATGTATGCAAAGGATCTAGAATAGCTAAAACATTTTTAAAAAGAAAAACAGAGTTAGATGTCTTACTCTACTTTATTTGCTCTGTGCTTCATTAGTCAAGATAATGTGGTATTATTTGCATCAACATGGATGGAGCTAGAGGGTATTATGCTCATTGAAATAAGTCAGGCAGAGAAAGACAAGTACCAAATGATTTCACTCATCTGTGGAGTATAACAACAAAGAAAAAACTGAAGGAACAGAACAGCAGCAGATTCACAGAACCCAAGAATGGACTAACAGTTACCAAAGGGAAAGGGACTGGGGAGGCTGTGGGGGGAGGGAGGAATAAGGGGATTAAGGAGCATTGTGATTAGCAAACATAGTGTAGTGGGGGGATCATGGAGAAGGCGGTATAGCACACAGAAGACAAGCAGTGACTTTATAGCATCTTACTATGCTGATAGACAGTGACTGTAATGGGGAATGTGGTGGGGACTTGATAATGGGGGGAGTCTAGTAACCATAATTTTGCTCATGTAATGTTTTATTAATGATACCAAAATTTTAAAAAAAGCTCACTACGAACTTGAACAGAAAAAGAAGAAAAAAGAAAAAAAAAGATAATGTGGTATTGGTGATAAGAATGAAATATTGATCAAGAAAACATCCAAAAACAGACTGCTTATCCATACCAGTCTGATTTTAAATAAGCATTCTAAGGTGATTCTGTGGGAAAAGGATACTCTTTCCAACAAATCGTGCTGAAACAATTGGGTATTCTTATTAACCAGATGAAGTTAAACTCACACCTTTACAAAAATACTAGAAGTCAATCATATCCCTAAATATGAAAGCTAAAAGCATTAAATTTATAGAAGAAAAAATCATAGAAATCTTTGCAGTCTGGTTAGGACACAGAAAATGCAAGCGATAGTGAAAAAATTGATAAATTTACATTCATCAAAATATCATTCATCAAAAGATGCTGTTAAGGAAATGAAAGGCAAGTCCAGACTTAGAAAAAATATTTGCAAAATACGTATTCAACAAAGGACTTACAACTCAAGAATAAGGCAAACAATTGTTTTTTTAATGGGCAAAGATTCAACAAAAACTGTATCAAAGAAGTATGGATAGTAAATAGCAATGAAAAGATGCTCAAAAACATTAATTATTAGGGAATGCAAATTAAAACCATAATGAGATACCACTGCACACCTACTAGAACAACTAAAGTGGAAAAGACTGATGTCATACCAAGTGTTGGTGTGCATAAAGAGCAAAAAACATGGGAACATAAAATGATACAGTCATTTAGGAAAACAGTTTATAATTGTCTTAAAAAGTTGAACATTCACCTGTCATACAATCCAGCCATCCGTCCTCTAGTTTTTACCTGAGAAGTGAAATCATATGTCCATACATAAGGACTTATGAATGATCATAGCTGCTTTATTTGTCATAACAAAAAAAATTGGGAACAACACAAATGTCCACCAATATTTGGACAGATAAACAAATTGTAGTATATTCATATGGTGGTGTACTACTCAGCAATAATAGGAAATGAGTTATTCATACACATAACAACATGGATAAATTTCAAAATAATTATATCAAGTAAAGGAAGCCATACAGCAAAGAGTATGCACTGTATTATTCCATTTATATAACATTCTAAAAAAAAGGCAAACTAAGATTTTGGAAGTGATAGATATATTTATTATCTTGATTGTGGTGTTGGTTTTATGGATACATACAGATGGGCTATCAGTTGTATATATTAGATATATGCAGTTTAAGTCAATGAATGATATCTTACTGAAGCTATATTTATATATAAGCTGCTGTTATTATTTTGGGTAACTCATCAAGCTTCAGTTTCCTCATCAATAAAGAATAATACCTGCCACACAGGGTTTATTTGAAAATTTTATTCACCTGTGTGTATATCTGATTTACTGTAGTGCCTGACACAGAGCAGGTAACTAGATCAAAGTTAATTCTATTCTATCACCCCCTGCCTCTACCATGGGACTGATAAAGCTATTGGGGGCTCTCAGATTACCTTCTTGATCATTTAGCAGAATCCTAGTGGCACATTCTCTCTCAGAAACTTTTAAATGGCTAAAAGTAATAAGCAAATGTATTAGAGAACTTAATAGATAGGTCTTCTTTTATTACTAATGAATACATTTCCTTCTCCTAAAAGTGATGATTTCAAACTTTGATCATGACATAACTTGACAAAATTTCATATTGCTTTTTTTTTTTCCCCACAGGGTTTATCCTTGGCTTAGAGGACTGGGTTATACATCCTTGGGTGTATTTTTATTGGGATTTTTATTATGGAATATAGATAACATCTTTTGTGATTCATTGAGGTAAAATATATTTCAATATTTGAGAAATATTTTGGAAGCAGTCTACTAAGCAGAACGTTTCTTAGGCATATAGAGTTGATCAGAAATGAATGTTTTCCACTGTTGAAATTAAAAAGGTATTTATAGCACAATGAAGTTAAATTCTGGGAATACTTGCTAAATTACCTAAAACTTTGGACTTAATATTTCATAACATCTGTATGGATGGGTTTTGTGTATCACAGAACTCTGCAGTTAGTCAGTTAGTCAACATCTGATTAGGTCTTTGAAATCTGCCTAATCTGCTGTATTGAAGAAATAGGTATGACTTGCAATAAGCATATGAAATACATGTACATAATTTTTTACTTTAATATGCTCATTGTTATTTTCTAAGGTAAGTGTTCCTTTTACCATCTTGTCATCAATTGTGTGTTGACTGGAGTTTAATCTTCAGTCTCTGAATGCTAATCTATGACTAAGATACCTTTTCTGGGCCTCAATTTCCATAAATGAACTTGTTAAATAGGCTAAACCAATTGGTCCTTCCAACTCAAAATTCTGTGACCTCATGGTTTTGTGTAAACACAGAGGACAGAGAGTGAATGGCACCACAGAGAGGCAGTCAGCAAAATTCAGACTGTAGGAAATCTATAGGATGAATGGCCTAGTCCCTTCAGCAAATAAATGGGGGGCAGGGGATAGAAGTAGGAGAAACATAAATGAGATTTAAGAGATATACTGTATCAACCAAACACAATGTGTTGACCTTTTTTATCTTGATTCAAACAAACAACTGTAAAAAAAATATTAAAGCTTATGAGAGGATTAGAACTTTGATTAGTAATTGAATATTTGCTGATATTAAGGGATTATTGTTAACAGATTAAAGACTATGAAAATGGTATTATGGTTATATTTTAAAGAGGTTTTAATCTTTAAAAGATATATACTGAAATATTTAGAGATACAATGATACAATATCTTGGATTTGCTTCAAAGTAATATGGGAGGGGAGAAATGGATGAGTTTAGATGATCTAAGAAAGTTATAATTGTTGAAGTTGGGACATGAGTGTATTATTATTTTGCCTACTTTTGCACATGTTAGAAATTCTCCATAATAAAAAGTTAAAAGAGTAAACGGAGACCTTAAATGTACACAAACAATTAATATACCTTTATTAGAAAAGTACGATCTAAATGAATTGTTCTGAATCAGTTAATACCATCAGAACCCCCACTGAAGCTTTTACACTGCTGAGGTAATTTATACCCTGTGGATGAAAGCCACAAAGAAATAAAGTAGGTTCTTAGAGATGGTAATTGTCTCAAAAATTCATGGGGACATCTAAAAAAGTAATTTTCTGCTTCACATTAATTTTCTTCTTCCCTGGTAAGTGAAAATAACATGGTACATGGTTAATCAAAAGATCTAGAATTTGAGACTCAGCCATGACACTAGCTGATTGAGTTGGGCAACTGAATTAATCTCTCTAAATTTTAGGTTCTTAATCTGTAAAGCAAAGCTAATAATAGCTACCTCAAAGACTCACTATGAAGTGAAATTATACATACAAAAGGACTTCATAGACTATATGGTGTCATCCTAAGATGATGATTGTATGTAGGGCATAGGAAAAGCATGCAGCTAGTTTCTTGAGTGAATAGCTAAGTAGACCAGTGTTTCCCAAACTGTGTTCAAGGAAACGTTTGTTCTATAAGGTGTTAATAAGATATTACCTGAAAAAATGGTTCCATGAGCAAAATGTAGTAGGTTACCTGAAAAAAAATGACAATAAACTCTTTGAGTTATGGTAAGACTTTTCAAAGCCTTTGATCTGTTAATATGCATTAAAAATCTTAAAGAGGGCAATAAACTATGTACTATTTCCTATATTTACTTTGACCACAAAGTCATTTCCTTATGAAACTTCTCCTAGGAATATTTTTCTTCAAAATACATATGGAAAGCAGTGCAGCGGACTACCACAGACTTAAGGAAATTAAATAATTGCCATGTTTGAGAATGACATTTCAGAATTCTCTAAGACTGTCAGCTTAGTTGCTAAACTATTTTTTTATTTAATATGGTAATCTTTTCCCCCTCTTCTTCACAGGAACTTTCGAAAGAAGGTGCCACCTATTATAGGTGTTACCACTCAATTTCATGCATGGTGGCATATTCTAACTGGCCTTGGCTCTTATCTTCACATCCTTTTCAGGTAGGAAATAGAGATTTTTATAGCCTCGTATTGGAGTGTTTTTTTCTTTACTCTTCAAATAGGATGGTGTAAATATAAAATGTCAGAGACAGAATCAGGAACTTACTTTTTTTTTACCTCTGCCACTGGGTGACCTTAATCAAGTTCCTTTCCCTCTCTGAAGGTTGGTTTTCTCATCCTTAAAGTGAGAGATAGTTGTACTAACAGACCTCTGACACATGATCTACATTTTAAGTAGATCATTCATCTCATTTTTTAGAGTAAGCAGGATATAAATATTTCCAGTTCTTTTTGATCATCACATCTTTGTTTATAGAGAGCAAATTTAGTGAGCAAAAAAAGCAACCAGATCCCCTGAGTAGAAAACTGGGAAAAGCAAGAGTATCTGAAGTACCCAGTTTAATTTGTCTCCTTCCCTGAAATAAATTGATTGCCACTTCTCTGCTGCCCTAAAAAAAGAGTTTGTTGAGAAACTGAGGAAGATCCAAATGGAAAGCTACTCCATGCTCATGGTTTGGAGAATTAATATTATTAAAATGTCCATACTACCAGAGAAGTCTACAGCCCAGTGAAGTCCTTACCAAAATACCAATGACATTTTCCAGAGAACTAGAACAAAGAATCCTAAAATTTGTATGGACCCACAAAAGACCCCAAATAGCCAAAGCAGTCTTGACAAAGAAGAGCAAAACTGAAGTTATTGTGCTCCCTAATTTCAAACTATACTACAAAGCTACAGTAATTAAAATTGTATGGTACTGGCACAGAAACAGACCCATAGATCAATGTAAAAGAATAGAAGCCCAGAAAGACAAAGACCCACACATACATGGTCAATTAATCTATGACAAAGGAGGCAAGGAATATACAATGGGGAAAAGGCAGTCTCAATAAATGGTGGGGAAAACTGGAAAGCTACATGCAAAAGAATGAAACTGGACCACCATCTTATATTATAAAACTCCTAGAAGAAACAATAGGTGGTAACTCTTTGAAATATTAGCAGTATCTTTTTTGGACCAGTTGACTCAGCAAGGGCAACAAATGCTAAAATAAACAAATAAGATTACAACAAACTAAAAAGTCTTTGTGTGCCAAAGGAAACCATCAACAAAATGAAAAGACAACCTACTGAATGGGAAAAATATTTCAAAGTCATACATCTGGTAGGGGGTTAATATCCAAAATATATACAGATATCTTTGTTTATATATATATATGTAATATACAAAGAACTTACATAACTTAATATTTAAAAATTTTTAATTAAAAAACAGGCACAGAACTTGAATAGACATTTTTCCAAAAAAGACAAACAGATAGCCAACAGGCAGATGAAAAGAAGCTTAACATCACTAATCATCAGGGATATGCAAATGAAAACCACAATGAGATTATCGCCTCACACCTGTCAGATTGGCTAGTATCAAAAAAAAATTTTTTAATAACTAGTTTTGGCAAAGATGTGAAAAAAAGAGAACCTTCATACACTGTTGGTAGGAATGTAAATTGGTGCAGCTAATATGGAAAACAGTCAAGAGGTTCCTCAGAAATTTAAAAAAGAACTGCCATACAACCCAACAATTCCACTTCTGGGTATTTATCAGAAGAAAATGAAAACAACAATCCAAAGAGGTACATGCACCCCTATGTTCATTGCAGCATTATTTACAGTAGCCAATATATGGAAGCAGCCTATGTGTTCATTGATGGATGGAAAAATGAGGTACATATACACAATGGAATATTACCCAGCCATAAAAAAGAATGAACTCTTACCATTCATGACAACATGGACGGACCTAGAGGGGATTGTGCTAATATCTAGAGAAAAGCAAATACCATATGATTTAACTTATATGTAGAATCTCAAAAGCAAAACAGAAACAGACTCATAGATACAGTAAACAAACTTCCTTACCAGAGTGGGGAGGGGTTGGGGGAAATGGATCAAATAGGGGAAGGAAATTAAAGTAGTAATTTAGGAGAGTGTCCTTCTTTTGTAGTGACACATATTGGAATATTTAAGAGTGATGGGCATCATGTCGTACAAAGACTCTATAGGATGTATATACATGTGTACATATGTGTATTTGTAAAACAAATGTGGTTAAATGATAATGATCTGGAAGAAGAGAATATAGGAATTCTTTGTACCAATCTTATAACTTTCCTGCAAGTTTGAGACTAATTTTTAAATTTAAAATAAAAAGAAGGGGAAAAGGCCAGCCCGCCAGATCATGGTTTTTTGTTTATTTGTTTTTTAGCTTTGTTTCTTTTGTTCTTAGACATTTGTAATAAATAAGCAAATAGAAAATGATTATCTAACTGGTAGTCCAAAATATCTTCTAAAACAATGGGATATGTACTTTTGTGAAAAAGAGCGGGATTAATAGACATATATGCTTATAAATGCATAAACTGTCTTTGTTAGAGGGTATATAAACTTTAAGTAACAGCTGTTATCTCTGGGCTGAGGTTTAGGGGTAGAAGACAGACCTCCTTTTTCCTGTATTATTCATACTGTCAAAATTCTTTGTCAAATTAGATTATCGCCTCACACCTGTCAGATTGGCTAGTATCAAAAAAAAATTTTTTAATAACTAGTTTTGGCAAAGATGTGAAAAAAAGAGAACCTTCATACACTGTTGGTAGGAATGTAAATTGGTGCAGCTAATATGGAAAACAGTCAGGAGGTTCCTCAGAAATTTAAAAAAGAACTGCCATACAACCCAACAATTCCACTTCTGGGTATTTATCAGAAGAAAATGAAAACAACAATCCAAAGAGGTACATGCACCCCTATGTTCATTGCAGCATTATTTACAGTAGCCAATATATGGAAGCAGCCTATGTGTTCATTGATGGATGGAAAAATGAGGTACATATACACAATGGAATATTACCCAGCCATAAAAAAGAATGAACTCTTACCATTCATGACAACATGGACGGACCTAGAGGGGATTGTGCTAATATCTAGAGAAAAGCAAATACCATATGATTTAACTTATATGTAGAATCTCAAAAGCAAAACAGAAACAGACTCATAGATACAGTAAACAAACTTCCTTACCAGAGTGGGGAGGGGTTGGGGGAAATGGATCAAATAGGGGAAGGAAATTAAAGTAGTAATTTAGGAGAGTGTCCTTCTTTTGTAGTGACACATATTGGAATATTTAAGAGTGATGGGCATCATGTCGTACAAAGACTCTATAGGATGTATATACATGTGTACATATGTGTATTTGTAAAACAAATGTGGTTAAATGATAATGATCTGGAAGAAGAGAATATAGGAATTCTTTGTACCAATCTTATAACTTTCCTGCAAGTTTGAGACTAATTTTTAAATTTAAAATAAAAAGAAGGGGAAAAGGCCAGCCCGCCAGATCATGGTTTTTTGTTTATTTGTTTTTTAGCTTTGTTTCTTTTGTTCTTAGACATTTGTAATAAATAAGCAAATAGAAAATGATTATCTAACTGGTAGTCCAAAATATCTTCTAAAACAATGGGATATGTACTTTTGTGAAAAAGAGCGGGATTAATAGACATATATGCTTATAAATGCATAAACTGTCTTTGTTAGAGGGTATATAAACTTTAAGTAACAGCTGTTATCTCTGGGCTGAGGTTTAGGGGTAGAAGACAGACCTCCTTTTTCCTGTATTATTCATACTGTCAAAATTCTTTGTCAAATAATTGTATTAACTATTTTTAAAATAATTTTAAAATAAAACAATGGGATACTTTTATACCAATCAAATGAGCTACAGTAAGTTGAAATTCCCTTCTGTATTCTTTAGTTGCAGTGAAAATGGTATGATCACATATGACTTGTCAGTGTAAATTGATGCAACCCATTTGGAAAGAAATTTGACACTGCATGTGTTCATGCAAAGAAAATGTTTATTTTTTTATCTTAGTTATTGTATTCCTTAGAAATTATTGTAAAGAAATAACCCAGAAAAATGAAAAACACAAAAATGTTTATCACAATGGTATTTAATTTAGCAAACAACAATAATAGAAGAAAAATAAAACATGCTACCCAATAGGGCAGAATCATAAAGTAAATTATGCATGGCCTTTATTCAGTCATTTAAAATTATAAATTTGAAAAACAGCAACATAGAAAGATATTTTGATTTTTTAAAGTGAAACATAAATTTTATGTATATGTAATTATTAAACCTGTGTAAAAAATAATTTGCATGTGGGCAAAGGTGGAAGTAAATACAGAAAAATTGAAAAAAACTATATTTGGTAGGAGAGTTCTAAGATGATTTTTTTCTTTGTTTTATATTAATGTTTAATGTTTTACTTCAATATGTTTTCAAGACAGGGAATAATAGAATATGTTTTAGATATATTTCATTCAAAATAACTAAAATAAAAGAAGCTTGAAGGTTTAAGCTTCAGTTACATGGAAATTTTGATTCTATGGGTACGTCATTGAATGGAGCAGGTAAATAATAATATTTCAGAGGGATGACTTAAGAATTTAATAATACATGTGCCCTTTAAGACCTTAGTACTGTACACTTTTGTTTCAAACAGAGTTAACAGTAAAAATATCTTGTGTTCAGTTCTTTGTTCCATTACTTCATAATTGTGTTAACAGTCTTGAGACAAGTTATTTACTTGGCTCTGAGCCTTAATTTCCTGATCTGTTAAATAAGGATATTACTGTTTACTCCATAGATTGTTAAGATAATTAAATTGACCAGGACTTCCTTTTGCAGTAATGCTCACCTAAATTATTTAGAAAATCTCTTATTAAAAACAACTACAAGTGTTTGATAAAATATTAAAAGCATCAAAGACTGGCAATATGAAAAGAAACAAGTCAAAGTCTAAGAGAATGCAGGTACCTAAAAGGAACACTGGTATTCCACGACTGCTTTGGACCAGAAGAATTTTTGCCAATCCATCATCTTTAGGCTTTGATATCATGACTTCATGGCACAGGGCAGACAGAAATCAAGGTCTCAGACTAAACAATGGACAAGAACCAGCCTAAGAAAGGAGTCTAATGGAAGACCTCTTCACATCAAGCTGGATGAATCAGAAGCAAACTCACTCTATACTCTACCCCCAGTTTACTTTGCAATCACAGAAGTCATGGTCATCAGCCTCCCTCACGTAGATTTGCAGCCCATCTACGTTAGTGTTCAGGAGAACTTCATGCCATGACCTTGGGTAAAGATTGTCCTAGACCTGTAGTTTCCCCAAGTGCCTGGCAAAAGCAAACAGCACATTTCCTGGAGAAAGTCTTCATCATAATTTCAATGAAATTTCCAAAGTAATTTTAAGAATAGTAAAAAGCACATAGCCAAAAAAAAAAAAAAAGCACACAAGGAAAAAAGATATCATGAGGAAGAATCCCAACAGAAATAGTATAGTAGAAAGAGACCTACAAAGAGAGAGCAGATATTAGAAGTATCACTGATTATAAAAATAATGTTAATTCTTGGGCTTGAAAAAATCAAAGTTAAAAACAACTTCAAGGAAAAAAAAAACTTTTTCAAAGAAATTTGAAGAAGCAAATAGAATCTCTAGAAATGAAAACTGTAGTAGCCAAAATGCAAGACTTAATGTACAGGACTCAACAGATTAGACTCAAGTAAAGAGAGAGGATTCATGAACTGGAACATAGGTCAGAAAAAATTACTTAAATGCAATAGGGACAAAAATGCAAAAAATATGGAAGTGAGGTTTAAAAATGGAATATAAAGTAACATATATCTAATTGAAGCTTCAGAAGAAAAGTAGGTTATTTTAGTTACTGTTATTACACAACACGACCAAACTTACCAGCTTAAATAGACATCTTATTTTGCTCACAATTTTGGGTCTTATATTTGGAAGGGCTCGGCTATGCAGGCCTCACATGGAGTCTCTCATAGGGTTGGTGTCAGATATTAGCTCAGGCTGCAGTCATCTGAAGGCTCCAACTGAAATGGATGCCCCAGGTGGCTCACTTATATGGGGTATCGTTTGATACTGGCTGTGATCTAGGAGCTCAGCTAGGATTGTAAACCGAAGTTGCCTACACATGGTTTCTTCCACCTCAATGTAGTCAGCCTTTTGACCTGTCAGATGCCTTCCCACAGAGGAAACATCTCAAGAGAACCAGATGGAAACAGCAGGACCTTTTATAACCTAGTTTCAGAATTCATATGGTGTGATTTCCACCATACTCTATATTGGTCAAAACACAAGATTCAGAAAGCAGGGACATAGATCCTATCTCTTGACAGGAGGAATATTGACAAATTTGGGGACTCCAAGCCCAGGTCTGAAGAGTAGGCACTGTTCAGCTGGTGCTGGTATCTGAGCTCAGACGAGAGACCCCATGGGGCTGGGACCCAGGCCTCTTAAGAAGGGCACTGCTGAAATGAGAACTGTTACTGCCACAGTGACAGATGCTGTTGGGATACCATTCACAGGAACCACAAACCAAAAGTCCTCATAGAAATAAAACAAGAAGGAGCAGGCCACTTCTCTCTCCTCCAGTTTTACAGCCTCTCTCAAATGTCCTCTATCAGCAGAGCCTTCAGGGAGCATCTGGCAATACAGAAATGTAGTTTGTAGTGTCAGCTCCTGCAGCACAAACAGAATGTAGAAGGGTGGTTTTGGAGCTGAGATACAATAACTTAATAACTGTAACTTTTGATGAGATTTAACAAGAGGAAAAGCATAAATGACTATATCAGGAATGTTAAAAGAAACATCCCCACAGATGCTATGAATATGAAAAAGATCAGAGGATATTTTTAACAGCTTTCTGTGTGATAGGTACTTTTGTTTTTGTTTGAAATTTTCCATCACAAAAAGTTTGAATTTTAAGCTCATAGCCTCATCTGGGATAGGCACCTGATAATATATTAACCTCCTTTACTCTGTATGACAGTCCTAAAAAGGCAAATAATATTTTACACTTAAGGAAAGACAAATTCAGAGAAGTCAAGTACCTCTCACCAGATCTTAGTGTTATTACCTGGATTTGAGCTCAGTTTTCTGTTTTCCCAAACCAATCTAGGAGGCCTTAGAAATCACCTAATATCACTTATTCATTTGGATGGAAAAGGCAGCTGAGGCCCAGGGAGAAGTGACTTGCCAAAGGTTACTTGCCAAGTAGAGTCCAATATATTGGCTAGTGATATAGAACCTGAATCCAAATCCTGCTTCTAACATTTACTACCTGTGGCACCTTGAATGAAATGTAAGACTTTCTAAGACGATTTATCATATGCAAAACAGGATTAATAATACCCACCTAGTAGGGTAGTTTAAGAATGAAATGTATATCCAACTCTGGGTTCAGTGCATGCCCCAACATGTTAGGTACTTAATAAATTGGGAGGGGTGTGGGCAATGCAAGGGCTGGAATCCAGGGCTTCACTGCGCCAGCCTAGGACACTTTCCTAAAGAGAAGGAAAAAGATTGCAACTTTCGTTCAGAGATTAACACCTGAAAAATTGTCAGAGTAAGGTTATATTTTAAGGTAGTGGAGTATTCTTCATAATACTTGATGCCCCTCTTTACAGTTTTGGTGTTGGATACAGTAGAGTGGTATCACAGCCATGTTAAATTATATATATTCAGCTATATTTGCTTTCTCCTTTTTACTTGACTTTTGCTGTATGTACTGATTTTAGAATCTGTCTTCAGAGGTGACTCATTTTAAAGGATACTATAAAAAGACTTTGTTACCTTCCTGTCTATCTCATACTTGTATTGTAGTCCTTATAGAGCAGGTATAACCTTTTCCAAAATATTCTAGGAATACTCTACTTTAATCCTTACTGCCATATATTTTCAAAGAAGAAATTGGCAATTGTGATATGAATCATAACAAACATTAGTGGAATGTTCCCTGCTAAACTGCAAACATCCTGAAATCACAGTCTGAAAGTTGATTTTTTCTCTATCTTCCTTAGCATCTTGCCAAGCATTCTGCACAGAGTAAGGTGCTCAAATGAATGATTACCATATGGACAGAGAATGTATCAATGTTGCTTTTCTTTGTATATATAGAGGCACTATGGCTAAATCTGTCAGTTTGCATAAATTAAAAATTAGTCTGAAGAGCTTTCCCCCTTCCCTTTTTCTTTCAGTTTATATACAAGAACACTTTACCTGAGATACAGGCCAAAAGTGAAGGTAAGTCCACTTCCTAGGGGGTGTGTGTGTTGGGGAGGTGGGGAATTGGGAGATAGGAGGGAGGTGGACAATGCAGGTGGAGTGGAGAGGTAGTGGAGAGAGTACAGGCTTTGGAACCAGATGCTCCTTAACCTTAGGTCACCCACTTACTGCTCTGTGACCTTGGGCAAGTCTCCTCTCTTTAAGCCTTAGTTTCTTCAATAGTAAAAGGGAGCTGTTAATAGCTACAGAGTTGTTTTAAGGATCTAAGATGATTTAAATGCCCAGCTTCATGCTTGATAAAGTCGATGCTTAATACATTTAAATAAATAAAAATAGTTTCTGAGAATGGTTTTAAGTCTGGAAAAAAGGTGCTGTGCTCAGGCTACTAATACCAGAACAATCACTAGCAAACCTATCAAGAACCATAGATACAGCCCAGGGGTTCTTTTTCAAGGCTATAATGGAACAACTTTATCTTCTTTCATTCTGTCCTAACTTGTTTCCAGTTTCTCTTTGGAATCTGGCCAGTGATCCTGTTTGAGCCTCTCCGAAAGCACTGATAAATTATTCTACCAAGAAAACAAAAGAAGCACCTACCATAGGCCTGGCCAAATGAATAAGGAAAAAGGATCTACACATTCAAATATGTCATGACCATCACAGGAAGGAGTGACTTTCTGGTAATGCTGCCAGCCACACAGAGCATAAGGAATGGAGCTTGTTGGATATTTAGCTGGTGTCTTTATCTCATTTGTCCTTCTCCTCGCTCTCGCTCTAAGATGTTTAAAAAGAAAAACATGATGTGTATGTATATACTCAAATGCTGGAAAATTGAGCTTTTCTTAATGGGTTAACAGGTTAACAGTTTGTGCTAATCATAGGAAATTGACCTTTATCTCTTTTTTTTTGACAAGGGTTGCATGTAAATTATACTTTTCTTAATATTTTGTTAAATAATGAAAACAGCCAGCTAAGGACTAGCAAAACCCCATATCCAGATGGCCAGCTATGAGCCAGCACTTAGCTATGTCAGCCTTCATTTATATTTTTGTCATGGTTACCTCCTGGATACTTTTCCAAGGTAAAAAAAGAGCCATCTGTGGGATTCTCTTAGTTCTTCACTGTCTGCCTTTGTGCTAGTTAGTGTCATAAGCAAACCCAGACCTGCCACTGGGCTCTGTGTTTGTCACATCCCAGATTTGTGGTGGTCTCTGGGTGTCTGTGTGGCCACAGCCAATCAGAGTGGGTCTAGTAACCTTTATAAAGATCATGAGGACACTTGTACAATGTTGTACTGGTAGCCAGTTTAAGTGTTGGTTGCTCTTTCCTTCAATTTTTTATGATCTTTAAGTTGTTCCTGTTTTTATGGCTAGGCAAACATGATTGGTGTTCTGGCCTACCCATATTCCACCCTCCTAGCATAACTTATTTGAAGTTACCAGTGAATGTCCTTATACTCTAGCTTTTTAAATTATGCAACTAGAGCTAAAATGATCAGGATCTTATTTGCATAAAGCTTAGTAGAATGCTGCTTCATTTTTTGAAGAAAATAGATAGAAGGGTTGAAGACAGCTCTAACTTAACTTGACTTGTAACAGAACTCCCGAATATTAACATGTTAAGAAGTGGTAGTAAAATCTCTTTGTAAGGCAGCTAGTTCTAATTTGGACTTGAATATATAACAAACTGAATTACTTTTCACAAACCTAACACCTGCCTGGAGTAAAAACCTGATTTGACCTTTGCTCATATATCACCATATTTGTAGCTGTGTACCAGTTAGCATTTTTACTTTTTCCTGCTTATACATTACTACAGAATCAAGATTGCTTTTACCATATGGTGACATCAACCGAGATTAAATCCTGAGCCACAGCTTCCAAAGGAAAATCATTTTTCTTCTTATGAAAAAGTATAAACTTCTGCCATTTTTCCAGTGTTCAGGGAGTAGTCTTGGCACAGATTTAAAACCAATACACATTTTGCTGTTTTTATTCACCTGCTGGCCTTAGTTTTAGTCCAAGTACTATTTTCCTTACCCTAGCATGCCAACATGCCATTAGGCAGATACTTACACCTACTTTTTTTTTTTGGTATCATTAATCTACAGTTACATGAAGAACATTATGTTTACTAGGCTCCCCCCTTCACCAAGTCCCCCCGACAAACCCCATTACAGTCACTGTCCATCAGCGTAGTAAGATGCTGTAGAATCACTACTTGTCTTCTCTCCCCGTGCCTCCCCCATCCACATTATACATACTAATTGTAATGCCCCCTTTTTTACCACCCCCCTTATCCCTCCCTTCCCACCCATCCTCCCCAGTCCCTTTCCCTTTGGTAACTGTTAGTCCATTCTTGGGTTCTGTGATTCTGCTGCTGTTTTGTTCCTTCAGTTTTTCTTTATTCTTATCTGATGAGTGAAATCATTTGGTACTTGCGTTTCTCCACCTGGCTTATTTCACTGAGCATAATACCCTCTAGCTCCATCCATGTTGTTGCAAATGGTAGGATTTGTTTTCTTCTTATGGCTGAATAATATTCCATTGTGTTTATATACCACATCTTCTTTATCCATTCATCTACTGATGGACACTTAGGTTGCTCCCATTTCTTGGCTATTGTAAACAGTGCTGTGATAAACATAGGGGTGCATCTGTCTTTTTCAAACTGGGCTGCTGCATTCTTAGGGTAAATTCCTAGAAGTGGAATTCCTGGGTCAAATGGTATTTCTATTTTGAGCTTTTTGAGGAACCTCCATATTGCTCTCCACAATGGTTGAACTAATTTACATTCCCACCAACAGTGTAGGAGGGTTCCCCTTTCTCCACAACCTCACCAGCATTTGTTGTTGTTTGTCTTTTGGATGGTGGCAATCCTTACTGGTGTGAGGTGATATCTTATTGCGGTTTTAATTTGCATTTCTCTGATGACAAGCGACGTGGAGCATCTTTTCATGTGTCTGTTGGCCATCTGAATTTCTTCTTTGGAGAACTTTCTATTTAGCTCCTCTGCCCATTTTTTAATTGGATTATTTGCTTTTTGTTGAGGTGCATGAGCTCTTTATATATTTTGGATGTTAACCCTTTATCAGATCTGTCATTTATGAATATATTCTCTCATACTGTAGGATGCCTTTTTGTTCTATTGATGGTGTCCTTTGCACTTACACCTACTTTTATGATCTTCCAGCAAGAAAAGCACTTGCCAAACGATAAATCTAAAAGAATTTTGGTTGTGCCTTAAGAAAATATAAACCTAAATGTTCCAACACACAGCCCATAAGATTGTTCTTTCTTTTGCCATAAGATTCTGACTTCTGGCTACATTTCATGTGCCTAGGCTATCAGACATCTTACATTTTTTCATGAGTTCATTTGTTTCACACCACTGTTTCTTTGTACTTCTAACCCAAGATGTACTTCTACATAAAGAATCTATCTATATAGAGAAGCAAAGTCATGTTCTTCACAACAGTGCTGTTAGTGTTGTAAGACAAGGTTCAAATACTTAAGTCAGACTGAGGATGCACCGAGCAACCCTGACCCTGGTGCCCTTGAGAGCACTTGGTGGAGTGAGCAGTCCCAGCCACCACTGTTGTCACTCACAGAGTGTTGAATACAGTTGTCCAGCACCTCATTGGAGAAGCAGGGGTACCACTAGGTGATCTGTAACAATGTGGCCAGTTCTTCAAAGGCCCTGTTTCTGTTGTGAAAACAAGACAGCTTGAAAGCTCAGCACAAAACATTTTAGAAGTGTTGAGCAGAAAGCAGAGACTAAATTCAGGCCCTTTGTTTTTCCAAGTTAGTTTTATGCCTTACACGTGGCTCTTTCTAGTAACCTAGTTGTTAGCACACTGGAGGCTTTTTATCTGTACCATATGAGTGTTATGGCAATACTACTGACCTTCAGGATATTACTAAATCATCTTTGTTTCAGTGGCTTTATTTTTTTTCTTGTAGGATTCTGGGTGTACTTTACATGTTTGGATTACTGTCTTCTCCCCTTCTCTTTATTGTCTTGGGAGACTTCCTGTTAATTACAGTGTACCAAAAAACCTGTTTACTGCTGAACAAATAATGGTTTGTTTTCATATCACCTGTTGTCAAAGGTGCTCATCTGTGAGCCCTAAAATAAGCTGTATTTTAGAAAACTTTAATACTTCATTAGGATGTGAAAGAAGAAATTTGCTTGTACATTTTAATATCCTTCCTATGCTGCCATTTTCACTCCAGAAAATTGAATTTAATTTGACTTTTTTTTTAATTAGAAAAACTAGGTGAAAGGTGGTTGTGTTAATCTGACTGGTTACTCTGCCTCCCCACCTTGGTGCTTTTATGAAACACTGACATCACCTGAAGTGATCTGTTTTATCCTTGTGATATTATATAAATTGATGATTAACAGGAGAAACATTTGTTTTTGAATAATCTACAAATGAGAACCCCAATAGCAGTATTGGCTTTAGAAGAATTAGATAAAATATTATGGTTTAACCTTAATGCAAAATTTCCATTACACTAAGGAGAGGAGGTGTGAGTCAAAGAAAATCAAGAGACCAAAAATTTCAGTTATACATGCATGAAAATCTTTAAATGCCTGAAAAAAACATGTTCTGTTTTAATGCCAACACCTTCAGAATTTAGCCAATGCCCCTAAAATAATCTAATAATTTAGTTTAACTCTTAGTTTAAATATTTTAAATAATTGAGTCCTATGGGTTCCATATTACTTGCTCTTTTAAAAAAATCATTTGTTACTAAGTTTAACAGTTTTAGCTATCAATTCCACATTTACATTACAGAAGAAATTCTTTTATCCCTGTGGTTTAAGTGATATAGAAAAACATACATGTAAAACCAGTGTTTCAAAGAGAACCAGTTAGAATTTGCAACTATGTGGCGATTGCATATCTACCTCTGTCTTATATTTTGCATCATATCAGTGCCATAATATAATTAGTTTGATCATTTTGTCGCAGCTTATTTACTATGCTGTTAAACATTCAGAAATAACGACTAAAACTTGGCTAAAAGTAGTTAAACCCCTTGGTATAGGGGGCTGTAAAATGAAAAATAAGAACACTTACGACCTCTCTAACTGGAAAATTTCAGTGTTGTTTTTTAAACTGTTGCACTTCGTTTAAGAATGGAAACTTTTTTTCCATGTCTAACTGTGGTTGCTAAATGGGGGCAATTTATTTCTGAGGTTTATGTGAGCATGCCACTGGACTTAACAATTTCTCCTGTTGGGGAGGAAAAAACCTCTCCTCTGCCCTCTAAGATTCAGTAGTGGGGGGGAGCCTGTGAATTAAACTGACAAAAGACACAATAGAAAGAGAAAAGGCAGGGTTTTTTATTTGGGGAAAGAGGTGACTCAAAGAGGTAGAATTGGAGGTTTACCTACATCTTATTAAAGGAATGGGAGGAGAAAAGACTTAATGGGGAAACAAATCACTTATTCATAGTGGAAATGGGATGGGGAAAGTAAGGGCGCTTATGGAAGACTATTCATGACAGTTGAGTTCTTTTGCAAGGTTCTGCTTTTAGACAGAGTTCAGAAAAAAGCCTCTGCCTATATCTGCTGATTCCCAAATGCCTTTGCCTTCAGCTCAAAATAATCTTTATGCCACAGTGGTGTGTTCTGGACCCCTTTATTTCTCCTGTCTAAAACTTCCCCAAAAGTTTCACAGACCTGAAACTGAGTTGGTAGCTGTGGAGAAAGGATTTGGGTTAGGAATTGGGAGGGAAGAGGTCTACAAAGGGAAAGAAGACATAGATTTATGGAGAAACAAAAGGGAAAACAAAATTAGTAGTTGGAGCAGATTATAAATTCAGTTTTTGAGCCCAGAAGGCAGTCAGTTGAAGGGATTTCAAGATGATGGTCATGAAGCATCCTTAGATGGCAGTCTTACAGTCATGAGTATTTCCTGTAGCTCAAAGGACCATGTTCTGGTGAACTTCCTGAGTGGCCAAAAATGTGGTGATAAATCCTTTAAAGTTATATCAAGTCATCCAGCTTCAGCTTGCAGGGCTTCAGGGAAAAGGCAGTTTTGGTTCTTAGGGGTGCCATGTCAGGAGAGTGGAAGAAAACTGGAAAGGTTAATTACTGACAAATGCACGAGATGGCAGGATCCAGCTTACAAAGAGATGAAAGTAGCTAAAAAAGAATGAATATAACTAGAATCTGATAATCCACAAGAGTGGGTCATAGTCTTTCACTGAGCCATAAAATTTCTATAATCACCCCATTTTATCAAATATAATAAAGTTAAGATTATTTTTGTTTGCAAAACAAGTCTAGTCTCATCAAACTTGGCCTGATGGTTTACATAAGTGCAGCAAGAATAGTTAATTGACAACATAGTTCTTTTTAAGTTTGTTTTGTTGGAATTTTCATTAGAAATCTCAGATTGGACTTTTAAAATCCTTGAGTCTAGGAAACCAAGCCAAGAGCTTGCTGTCAGACTTGTGGTTCCTCTTTCTCAAGGTCCCTAAAATATCCTAAGCTTCCTGGGCCTGCCAGGAAATGGCCTTCCTTACCCATAAGGGTGGGAACCCTATAAACCAGGTACCAGCCCAGTTTTCCCAGAACACTTTGTAACCACTGGTTCCTTAAAGTTAACCCTATATAACTATTGTCATTGTCATATAACTATATTCAATGAGTTCCAAATTTTGGGGAGGATCAGGGAGGAAGAAAAGAAATGTTTCATTTTTGTTTACAAAGATATAATCTACTATATTGCTGTAAATTATAGCTAGCTTAAAAGAAGAGGAGTTCTTTAAATCCAGAAAATAGAACATTAAATAACCAGCAATATTCCAAGTAAAAGACATAGGAAAAATTAAAATCATTCTTTATCAGTCTACTCAGTCCCATGTAATAAATTCAAGTCTTTCTTGACTTGGAGTTAGCAATTTTTGAACCATTTAACTTCTCCATTAGTTCTGGAGAACACTATTCAGTCCCGTGGTATGATCTTACAATTTTAACATGCCATCAGAAGCGTGTACTATAGAGTATGTGTTGTGGTCCTTTCCATGGGTCTCTGAGACTGTCTTTTTTCATTGAAGATGAAATTTATAGCTGATTATTATGAGAGTTTTCAGGAAAACATCAGAGTAAAACAATATCTGTGAATGACAGAAGGCTTCAAATGGTCATGGCTAAATAGCTGATGAGAGTT